ATTTAACTTGCTTTGCCTTATATTTTATCCTGCATTGCCTCATATATTTAACTTGCTTTGCCTTATGTTTTATCCTGCATTGCCTCATATATTTAGCTTGCTTTGCCTTATATTTTATCCTGCATTGCCTCATATATTTAACTTGCTTTGCCTTATGTTTTATCCTGCATTGCCTCATATATTTAGCTTGCTTTGCCTTATATTTTATCCTGCATTGCCTCATATTTTTAACTTGCTTTGCCTTATGTTTTATCCTGCATTGCCTCATATATTTAACTTGCTTTGCCTTATGTTTTATCCTGCATTGCCTCATATATTTAACTTGCTTTGCCTTATATTTTATCCTGCATTGCCTCATATATTTAACTTGCTTTGCCTTATATTTTATCCTGCATTGCCTCATATATTTAACTTGCTTTGCCTTATATTTTATCCTGCATTGCCTCATATATTTAACTTGCTTTGCCTTATGTTTTATCCTGCATTGCCTCATATATTTAACTTGCTTTGCCTTATGTTTTATCCTGCATTGCCTCATATATTTAACTTGCTTTGCCTTATATTTTATCCTGCATTGCCTCATATATTTAACTTGCTTTGCCTTATATTTTATCCTGCATTGCCTCATATATTTAACTTGCTTTGCCTTATATTTTATCCTGCATTGCCTCATATATTTAACTTGCTTTGCCTTATGTTTGTATTCTACTTTGCCGTTTGTATGTGTCCTACTTTACACTATGTGTTTGTCCTGATTTTACTTTTATGTGTGTCCTACTTTGCTTTATATGTCTGTCAGTTTATGTGTATGTGTGAATATATACACATTTGTGTGTGTTGTGTATGTATGTATATATGTATATATGTGTGTGTCTGTCTGTCTGTGTGTGTGGGTGGATGGGTGTGTGTGTACATATGTTTATTTGAATGTATGCATTTACTATCCTTGTATTCCTGTATTTTATTTTGATAGTCTAATGTTTATTGGTAAATGAGCATAAAATGCTTTAAAGATAAAATGCAATTGCTGTGTGAAAGATCAGTGATTGGAAGCCCCAAATATAAGATGGACCTGCCTGCTCAGTTTGTGAGTTTTTGAAAAAAAAAAAGGTTTGCTCGTTTGTTCGCTTACACTACTTTGCCTTATGTTTCTGTCCTGGTTTGCCTTGAATATTTATACTGCTTACACTAACCCATACTTACTTCCAACACTCGTTTGTGTGCGCTGACTGTAGACTAACTTGGCATGCTTTCCTTCATCAGAAAAAACACCCAGGTTGGTCCGCGCTGCCACCTCTCCTCTGCCTGCGGGTAACACACATCCTCACATCCCTCTGCATGTTGCCACTCCTCCAGCTCGGCCAGTACTAAAACCACAGAAACCAGTGCCTGAACCCGGCAGTCCGTCTTCAGCAACATCTGATCTTGTGCCTTCCCCAGCATCTCCAAGATCGCCGCAGGATTCCAGCGAGCCCTTGGACTTCTATGGGGTTCTGGAGCTAGACCAGGAGAACAGCTCCAGTGGGGGTGAAGGCAGCAACACTGCAGAGTCTGGCAGTGAGGATCAGGAGATGGCTCTAACAGATGTGTCCCAAGATGATTCTCTGGATCAGATCATTGAAGTGTCTAGAGAGAGGAGAGATTCAGGAGTTGGGCATTCTCTTACTCGAGCTCCAAGGTATATTTTATTATTATGATTGTTGCATGACTATTATAATTTTGAAGTATAAATGTTATATTGAGTTTAGCCCTATCAGTTAGTCAGTCAGTTGATCAGTCAACCACTTAATTAGTCAAACAATAAGGTGCTGTCTCACAAAGAAGATTCACTAAAAAGGATCTCATAGCCTGGCTGTTCAATGTGTCAGATAATCAGGTGATCTTAGTTCTAACTTAACAACAACAACGGGACAACTCATAGTTGCTTTGTTCCAATGTCAACAAAAGCCACACACAGTGTCCATCACTGCTCCTTGTGAAATAATCGACACAGTCTCAGCAAAACCTGTAGCATTCACATGAAATGCATAAGGCAGCAGTCAAAAGTGGCAGCACAAATAGTCCAGTGCAAGAAATGCAGGTCGTCATTAATTGAAGCAGCAGTTAACAAAGAAAAATTACATAATCAATCACAGGAGACACCAACAATTATGTCGCAATCGACCACTCACCATGTTCTGAATCTACACTTGAGAACACAAACCATGGTGGACACAGTAAGAAGAAAAAAATTCCAAATAAAACCCATAGCTCATTATTACATTCTTTGCTGTTATTGATCCACTTGTATCACAGACTACTTCTGGTCTTCAAATTTTCTCTCTAATATGATTTGTATGACTATGTTTTTTAAAAATCTAGCTAAGATATTTTACTAGTCTCTTTTTTCCTTTTGTTTCAGTAACCCTGTTTTTATTCCCATCTGCACCAGAAACAGTTATTTATGTTTCCACTGTATACTACTCATTCTTCTGTCATCATTATCACTTAGCACAGGGCTTGTCAACAAAGTTTACTCAGGAGCCACAATTGTGAAACTGGGAATCGTTAGGGGCCAAAGGTCTGAGCTCCAGCATAGAAAGACTGTTAATTCAATACAACCAGCAATGATCCGCGGGCCACTCGCTAGGCCTCCACGGGCCACAGTTTGGATAGCGCTAACTTAGCAGGTTCGTTGCAGAACGTTGCTCTCATCACAATTCACCTGAGAGAAATTCAGTCTGTCACCATATCTCTTGGCTCCTGCACGTTTCTACCAATGATGTCATTTATATCCAATGTCCATCTTTGTGCTGGTCAGCCCTTGCCCCTCTTTCCTGGCACCATGCCTTCAGCTGCTATTCTTTCGAATCTGTCAAATTTTGAGTAAAAATCTAGCCAAAGTATTTCAGGATCCTCGCCGGTGCTACAGAGCCTGTGCACTGTGCTGAGCTTCTTCGGACTCAGATTTAGAAGAAGAACTGAGCACTTATGGGTTACTGCCCGTGTGCAATGATGTTGACCGTTTTTCAAAACCTCAAGAATCTGTCATGACATTTGATATGACCAAAATATTTTAGTTGTTGAGACAAGATGCTATTTACTAGCCAATCTTCCTTGATGTTCAGATCTTTTAGGATGTCAGTATTCCTTTTCTGTGCAGCTCCAAGGCTTAAAGGCTAGCGAATGCGGTTAACCGTTTCTTTACCTTTGAGTACTGGGGTTCGTTACCCTTCGTGGATGGGTACAAATCCGTTCTGATGGTTTTTGGACATGGTATGAGAGTCGCATAATGGAAGGGTTTGGGCCTCACCACATAATATTCCTAAAGAGAACATTGATACACTATAGACAACCTCCATTAATAATTTAAAACTATGTTGCGAGCTGTGCTGGTTTTACGGTTGCAGCTCATATTGATCAACGTTTCACATAAAAAGAGAGATTTGGCACTGTTATAAAGATCATGCTGGTAGGACAGGTTGAAATGGTTTGAGTAAGGGGCAGTGGTACAGGTGGGAAGATAACATCAAGAGATAATTGATATCTGTTGGTATCAACAGTTGTAAGAGAAAAAAAGTGGATAAACAATCATAAATCAGGCACAATAACTGGAAACAGTGGATTCTGGAAGCGAGGACCCCCAGTGGAAACTTTTAGATGAATGTTGAAACAAAAGTCAGAGGTGTCAGACTGGATTCTAAACACGATATTGAAAAGATTGCACAAAATAGAACAGAATGGAGGAACCAGATGCGGGCCCAGTGTTATTTATAAATGACACAACAAAATTATGGTGATGATTTGGGTGAGACCTATGAGGGATAAAGGATAGAATATCTTCTTTTTCTTCATTATGTTTACTGGCTCTGGCAGAATGTTGAATGTTGAATTAAGAATCGACATCACAGCACTTGGGACACTCCCATAAGTGCTCAGTACCCATCTTCAGCGGCAAGCAAAGAGTTCTAATTCTGATTGTACCAGTAACAGTTTGATTGTATATCCGTCTCATCCTTTCTCTGAGTGTTGAGCATCAGCCAGATTCCCTAGTAACTCCTAGCACTGCCATTCTCCTCAGACCGTAATGATCTATCTGCACCTTTGCACTGTTCACTCGTCCTCAAAGGGCCCTCACAATATCTAATTTGTCATAACCCCGGCTCTCTAGCGTAGTTGGCTAAACCGGAATGCGCGGTGACCGGGTGACGAACTCCTTGTGGTCCCGGTTCACTTCCGGGGGTAAGCTGAAAACATTTTCTCCCAGATTTACGGTACCTGTTATGGAATCAAGGCTGAAGGGTTGCGATATCCATAGTACCGAACCAAAGGGTTAACAACTCATGGCTTCTGGATATTTAAAAAACAAAAAAAACTTGTCATAATATTAGTTCACCACCAAGTGGTGCAGAGTCGGCAGAAAGTTCTGGTTTTTCTTCCCTCTGGACTTTAGTCTTATTCTAGAACCTGAGTGTTGTTACATGCACATCCGTTTTGCAGATCTAACTTATTTGTATGCAAATGTTGGTTTCTTGTCTCTCAGGCAGATGCACTGTAACTTTGAAGGGAGCTCCCTGTTAGTTGACTCTTTTGACATGTTTGTTGGGAGAGAGTGGATCTGTTCATGTTTTCCTCCACAGTAGGGCCCTGAAACCCACACGGGGAGGATTTTTTAAATTTATTTCCAGAAACTATAAGTTGTAAACCATTTAGCTTGGTACTATGGATATCGTAACCCTTTGGCCTTGATTCCATGACAGATACCGTAAATCTGGGAGAAATGTGGCTTTTCTGCCTACCCCTGTGAGTGAACCCAGACCACAAGGAGTTCTTCACCTGGTTGCAGCGCAGTTAGGTTTAACCAACTGAGCTAGTGAGCCTGGCACACAGGGAGGATAGAATATAAAAGGGTATAATAATCTTTACAAAGACGGATGAACTGTGGCTATAGACAACTTGTTTGAAACCACACGCACAAAACTACTAATTTCATAACATTCTGTCATTTTATTTGGTTACAGTGACAGGCGACGCAAGAAGATCAGATGGCACAGCTTCCAGAAGTCCCATAGACCTGACATCAACAGTCGGGCCATGCAGATCAACAGCTTGACCGTTGGTCAGTTAGTGAGGCTGCAGAAACTCTCTCTGTTGAGACTGACCGGCATCATGGAAAAATGTCTGCCAGTCAACAAGTCTGGCTGGAACTGGATGGTACCAAGGTTCATGAAGAGGCAGAAGGTCAGTTTTTCTTCTTTGTATTCACTGGCTGTAAATTCCATAAATGTCTGCTTGTTCATTCAATTCTAGATGTTGAAGTTTTTTTTTTTTTTTGCACATCCATTTCACGGATCTGGCTTATTTGTATGCAGATTGCTGGTTCCTTGCCTCTCAGGCAGATTCACTCCGTTGAAGGAAACATTATTGGCTCCTTGCCTCTCAGGCAGATTCACTCCGATGTTGAAAAGAAACTTTGTTGTTTCCTTACCTCTCAGGCAGATTCACTCCGACGTTGAAGGAAACATTGTTGGTTCCTTGCCTCTCAGGCAGATGCAATGCAACTTTGAAGGAAACACCTCTAACTAGTTCCCTCCTAGGATCCGTTTTGGGAAAAAAAGTGGGGGGGGGGGGGATGTTGATTTTGTAAGGATCTCCTGTGTACACTTTCTGATGTGTTGCATAAGTTGATTTTTCTATCTTTGAGGTTGTTCTTGATTTTGTAATTCCATCGTTTGCATGGTTTCCCCCTTGCTTTGGGTTCCTTATATTTCTTCAGCATGGCTGTCTGGGGCACTTGGTACCATTGCATTCTCATCAAATGGCCAAACCTTCTGATCTTTAATGAACTTTATAAGTGGTTTCAGTCTTTGTTTTCTGACTTCTTCATTTTTAATTTATCTCTTCTTGTTACTCGGACATCTCTTCTAAGACATCTCATCTCTGAAATTATGTTTTTATGATTAGTTGTAGAATAGGGGGGGAATTAAATGGTATGATAGAATCATTGATATAGAGCTTTGGGAGAAAACAAAATAAGTTCCAGTGGACCAAGAGGTGAAAAAAAGACATTAGTGTTGGATAGGACACACGTTTGAAAACTTGAGGGCAGTATAACTAGAATATCTTTGCACTTGAACCCACAGGGGCATAGAAATAAAGGAAGACCAAAAAAGACATGGAGAAGAGAGCTAGAGAGTGAAGTTAAAAAGATGGGGAGGTCATGGGGAGAGCTGCATGTGATAGCGAAGGATAGAATGATTTGTCATGAGTTGGTTGAGGGCCTATGCTCCATGGGGGTTAGAAAGGCTGAAGATGAAGATTAGTTGTAGGTAGCTGACGCATGCGAAATGCTCGCTTGATGCACCGCACACTTGCCAAGTATCCAGGTATGCTTAATAGTGTTACAGATCAAAGTCACCACTCCCGCCCAACAGCAATAAAGGACGCTGGATACATGTTGAACGTCAAAATATAATTAATGTATTTCAAAACCAAAACAATGAATCCACATGAATTTCTATACTGCCACAGTCATTCCTACTGGCAAGGCAACACACACTCCGGACGCTCTGGGCTACTTCTACTGCCACCCTGTTCCGTGGTTAACAACGAGCAAACATTACCTGCTCGTGCAAACCCACTGCTCGTGAGTACGTGTCTGTCTCTATGACACCCATCCCTTGGGTACACCGTCACTAGAAAGATCATACAGGCCGATGCACAATACCTTGTGAAGATTATCCAGACCTTCCGTCTGCGGCCTGACACGTACTTGAGATCTCCCATCTCACCACACGAGCTTCTGTCACGCTGGCCCGGCCTCTGCGGCATCTCTCGCCGATAGCCTGTATGTAACGCTAGCGTAACATGCGGGTGTGCAGGACTAGTCTGGCAACACCCAGACTGGAACCTACATCACCGCATCCTTCCTCTCCGGGGACTTGGAGCCAACCATTTTTCTCTCTCTTCACATTGCGTTCAATGTGTCCTGCACCGCACCAAGTGTTTACGTTCAATAATGAACGTCCCTTTCATATACCCATATATTGCACACAACAGTAGCATTCATAGACTGTGCCATAAAATAGTTCTTTTTGTAAACAAAGATATCCTTCTGTATATCAAAAGTTGTGTTAGTTGTCCCAGTGCCTGATTTGCTTTTGCTCACACTGACCACATTACCACAGAGTGCTGATGGTCTGTAAAAATATGGGACGCTCTGCCCATATGCCCGATGCGCCCAAAGGCGTGAAAAGGGATCTTTACTTTACTTTACTTACACACTAATTTATTTATGTTCAAAATATTCATCATAGGCTAAAAAATAAACATGGCATAAACAAAATATTTAAACCTTAATTTCTTGACTCATTCTGTGGAATTATTTTTCTATTCCAAAATCTCATCTGTGTGTTTTGAGCATGTCACAGTAGGTGTGTTTGTATTCAAGCTCTGCACAGTTCCATGTGTTCTTGAGTTAATACCACTATTTCTTATTAAGGTGAAGGATCCCACAATTCTTTATTTTCAAGAAGATTTTTGACAATGTCCTGCCTTTTAGGTAATGTATATGGCACAGCTTGGTGGAATACTGATGCATGGTAAGGCAGGCATGGCCAAGTCCTTATGGAAGCACATGTACAATTCAGAAAAGCAAATGGATCATCGCAGTCTGATGAGAGTGGTGCAGCGGTGAGTGATGAGGGGATCTGGCCGACACTCAACACTCAGAGGAATGGCAAGAAGGACTTATAATCAGACTGCTACTGGCACCATTAGTAAAGGAACTGCACTGGCTGCTGAAGATGAGGATGGGGTGCTTATGGGAATACCCCAAGTGCTGTGGTGTCGGTTCTTGAATCAACTCATCTTATAATATGTATAAGTGCAACATATCAATTACATATCCATTACATATCTATTCTGTAATGTTTCCAATACTTAAAGCTGTGCCTTCCTCTTCTCTTCCTCCTCTTCTTCATCTGCCCATTATCTCACAGTTGGGTATAGGCCTCAACCAACTCATGCCAAGTGGTAGTCCGGTCCTTCTCTATCAGGCAGGCCTTTCCCCCCCATTGCCTCTCCATCTTTTCAGTGTCACTCTGTGTCTAGCTTCCACATGTTTTAGTCAAGCAGCAATGCCCTACAAACTAGGATTTCTATACAATAAAATAAACAACTCCCTTATTGGTATAAAAATGAGTTGTTAGAAGGTCTGAATGTAACATAGGTCTTCTCGTTCTGTTAGTAAGTAGAGTTTGTTCATTAATTTTGTTTCTTCGCCATATAGAATGTATTTCATGTCTGACATGTTGTTAATTAGTTTGGTCTGTTTCAGGCACCAGATTTTAATGAGAAGAATGTGTTTGGGGTGCCTTTAAGTGTGATGGCTCAGCGGACAGGCCAGCCACTTCCCCAGTGTGTTCTCTATGCCATGAGATACCTCAGGAGAACCTGTCCGAGTGCTGTTGGACTCTTCCGGAAATCTGGGGTTAAATCTAAGATCCAGCAGCTGAGGGATTATCTGGAAGCTCACCCAGGTAATTGGTCTTGATAGTCTTCAGATAATAAGGGATAACAATTGTTAGAGCCCTTTAGGACCAGTGCAAAGGCTCAAACAGATCATTACGGTCTGCAGAGAATGGTGCTGCGGTGTAAAGGCGAGATGGATCTACAATCAGACAGTTACTAGAACTCTTTGCTTGCCGCTGAAGATAGGGGCGGAGCACTTATGGGAGTATCTCTAGTCCATTATATCTAGGTGACAGGACTCTCTGTGGTGTACTATACGGTGGTAGTTTTGTTACATGTCCAAACCTTTTACTCTGTTGTCTCTTGATACAGTTGAATAAAGGTTCTGCCCCACCTTCTCACATGTCAACAACAAAAACTGTCTACCTCTAATTTTTAAAAATCATTTTACAGTGCTATCATCAGGTGCATCAAATTTTGAGAGGGAAAATACTTACAATGAACTGTATCCTTACAAGAAAAGTGGGCATCTGTGGCTTAGGCGTTGCGAACGGGCTTCGTAATTCCAGGGTGACGGGTTCGATCCCAGCCTTGCGCCGGTCTTGACAGTAGTATCAAGATGCCAACCGTCCAAAAAGCAATGGCAAACAAATGGACATAAATTTGCTTTGAAGAACCACAACATGGAAAAAATGCAAGTGTTGGTTCTGCAATTTCCTGTATAAGATGCACAACTAACTAACTTACAAGAACAAAGTTCTTTGGTCACGTGATGAGAAATTGAGCACTGGAAAATATTGTGACGACTGGAAAGATCACTGGTAGAAGAGGCAGAGGCAAACCATGAGAAATGGTAGTGAATGGCTTAATACATGGAGGAAAATTATCAGTGGAATTGATCCAGAACACCCAAGACCAAGATCTTTGGAGATGCATTAACACCGATGCCAGCTGGCAAGGCACTTGATGATGATGATCCTTACAAGATACCACCAATTTTGATGTTGAAAATGCTTATACTTATTCTATTATCAACAGATACCACCAATTTTGATGTTGAAAATGCTTATACTTATTCTATTATCAACAGATACCACCAATTTTGATGTTGAAAATGCTTATACTTATTCTGTTATCAACAGATACCACCAATTTTGATGGGGAAAATGCTTATACTTATTCTGTTATCAACAGATACCACCAATTTTGATGTTGAAAATGCTTATACTTATTCTGTTATCAACAGATACCACCAATTTGATGTTGAAAATGCTGATACTTATTCTATTATCAACAGATACCACCAATTTTGATGTTGAAAATGCTTATACTTATTCTGTTATCTACAGATACCACCACTTTTGATGGGGAAAATGCTGATACTTATTCTGTTATCAACAGATACCACCAATTTTCATGGGGAAAATGCTTAAACTTATTCTGTTATCAACAGATACCACCAATTTTGATGGGGAAAATGCTGATACTTATTCTGCTATCAACAGATACCACCAATTTTGATGGGGAAAATGCTTAAACTTATTCTGTTATCTACAGATACCACCAATTTTGATGGGGAAAATGCTTAAACTTATTCTGTTATCTACAGATACCACCAATTTTGATGGGGAAAATGCTTAAACTTATTCTGTTATCAACAGATACCACCAATTTTGATGGGGAAAATGCTTAAACTTATTCTGTTATCAACAGATACCACCAATTTTGATGGGGAAAATGCTTAAACTTATTCTGTTATCAACAGATACCACCAATTTTGATGGGGAAAATGCTTAAACTTATTCTGTTATCAACAGATACCACCAATTTTGATGGGGAAAATGCTTAAACTTATTCTGTTATCAACAGATACCACCAATTTTGATGGGGAAAATGCTTAAACTTATTCTGTTATCAACAGATACCACCAATTTTGATGGGGAAAATGCTTACAATGTGGCAGACATGCTCAAGACCTACTTCAGGGACCTCCCAGAATGCTTGCTTACCAACAAGATGTCAGAAACTTTTCGTAGTATTTATACATGTAAGTTTTGTGTTGTATATTTAATTAAGCTTTTCAGTTCTTTGTTTTTAAACTCCTTTGTTTTTTAAATTATTTTTATTTCTGTTACTTGCTTTTCTGTTTTGCTTTTTTAGTATCTTTTTTCCTGATAATTCTCTTTGTCTATTTATTATAAAGTTGTTTATATAACATTTTCTTTCTCTGTCTTGTTCCCAGCAATATTTCAAAGTACCATATCTTCATTCATTCTTACCCTGGTTTTGCTCACACATTGCTTTTTCTCTCCTCCTTTTTTTTCAGAAAGTATATATTAAGCCTATGATATATTTTCCCTACATGTATTTCTGTTATACTATACATTATTATTGTTTACAAGTGTAGGTACAGTTAGAGCACACAATTTAAAATGAATATTTAATTATTGTCACTGATGTTTATTATTACCTTTTAAAAGGTGTATGAATGAAATAATGTATGATTGAAACAATGTAAGATTGAAATAATGTATGATTGAAAGAAATAATGTATGATTGAAAGAAATGTCTGATTGAAATAATGTATGATTGAAATAATGTATGAATGAAAGAAATAATGTATGATTGAAATATAATGTATGATTGAAAGAAATAATGTATGATTGAAATAATGTATGATTGAACAAAATAATGAATGATTGAAATAATGTATGACAGAGTGAGGTCAGAAGGGTTAGCCAAATTCTAAAACTCTTTAAAAAAAAGTCCATTCATTCCCAATGCCTCCTCCATCCAGTTCTGTTTCTGAGTTTCAACAAGATGTAAGAAAACTAAAGAAGCCTTTTCTACACTTTCAGGCATATTGGGCATATAGGGCTAGATCTATATTTAACCAAATTAATTAGCGCTCAGTGAAGTACATCTATGCCGCCTTTGAGGCTGAGTTAGAAGACATTATAACCAACTTCTTGTGGGAACAGTAAGTTGAAGTACCTTGGAGTGGCTGCTGCATTGGAGGACTGAGGATGCATGGGATGACCAGGGTGCAGTGACCTGATTGTGATAACATGATCAGAGCACAGCAGATAAAACAGAACCCTGCCACTGCCAATAACTGCCGTTTTTAACACTTTTGCAGTGTGGGGGTGGGGGGTTTCTGAGCCTGAGGATTTACGGCTGCATGGCTAGTGCTGTCGCCACGACTGTGTTGTTGCCACGACTGTGTTGTTGCCACAACTGTGTTGTTGCCAAGACTGTGTTGTTGCCACGACTGTGTTGTTGAGGGTTTTAGTTTGCCAAGCCTGCCACTGAAAGGGATTTATCCAAGACCACGTTTTTGACTTGCAGTTGCACTTCCAGCAGTTGCATTTCCAGCAGTTGCACTTCCAGCAGTTGCACTTCCAGCAGTTGCACTTTCAGCAGTTGCTAGAAATATGTTGCTTATTATATTACAATTTTACCAGAGCATTGACGGCACAGCCTACACTTTATAATTTCAACTGCTGAGGGATCCATTCGGAGATTGGCGGTATCAGATAACTGTAAAAGTAAAGGACCCTTTTCCATGCCTTCAGGCGTATTGGGCATATAGGGCTAGACGTATATTTGTATAGACCAGACACCACTTGGTGGGTGATGGGGTCAGCATCACACCGGTGGCTTTTACTTCCCAGAACTGTACCTGGTACACTCATTCAAAGCAGAGTCAACCTGAGAGCCAAGGTCATTTTTGAAAAAAGTCTGGCCTCTGTCTTGACCCAAACCCACGACCTTCCAATCCGCACGCGAGCGTCTAGCCGCTAGCCCACCTGTGTTAAAATATATTCCAGATATTATTGTCCACAACTGGGTTCACACCTAGCACTTTAGAGTTGAAGTTGGATACACTTCAAAGCCACTTTGAACTTTCATAAACAGTGTGTGTCTAGAGCAGAAGTTCAGCTGACTTGATGTTATTGCCATCACAGACACTCCTTCAATTTGTTTAGTAGCCTAGGTCAGTGATTCCCAAACTGTGTGCCGTGGCGCCCCGGGGAGCCGTGACCTCTTCACACGGGCACCATGATATTTTGTAAAAGCTTCATAATTAATATAACCAAGAAACAAATAGTCAAACTTTTACTGAGGTTTGGGCGCCGTTGAAAAATTTTAATTTAAAAAAAGGCGTTGTGACCAAGACAAGTTTAGGAAACACTGGCCTAAGTTAATTAATTCCGGACAAATAAGTGATTGCTAATTTATTCATTCAGACGTCCCACCATCTCAGAGGTTAGATGCCATCCAGGCAGCGATTTTGCTTCTGCCAGATGAGAACAGGGAAGTTTTACAGTCCATCTTGCTGTTTCTGAGTGACATATCTGAGCATGAAGCTGACCATCAGGTATGTTATATGTCAAGGCTAACCAATAACTTATCTTGAAATTATGTATCTGAGGTTGACTGTTCCAAAGATAACTTAACCTGGCACAGTTTTTAGTTCATGTGAGAGCTGGGTCCATTAAAAAAAAGAGACACAGACTAACCCTAACACCCCTAGAATATAGTAATTTCCTGGGAACTCCGGGATTTCCTTTGTTTGATGTAAATTAAAAATTAAGTACTGCTGGGTAATGAACTGTATAATTTAATATACTTTAAGTATTCTTGTGCCAGAGAACCAATGTTGGATAGGTGCTATATGTTTGCCTGCGGGCCTGAAGGTCATGGTTTAAATCCGCAAATAGTCAAAAAATTACTTTGGCTCACAAGTCAACCCAGCCTAAAATAGTTACCAGGTAAAGACCTGGGAAGTAAAGTTGGCTAGAATGATGTTGCCCATATTTACCAAGCGCTGATTGGTCTATTATATTTAGTTCTAACACTATATACCCAATACACATGATGATGATGATGATTGGCTCCTTTCCATCTTTCCAGACGATACTGTACCCAATACACATAGGGTGTGGAAAAGAGATCACATTGACTCTTAACCTGAATGTAGATTGACTAATCTTTAACTCATATAGTCACAAGAAACACGTAACATAAGGCCAGCTCTTTGCTACTGTCCTAAACATCCCGTCAGAAGTCTCCTTGCTGTTCATGTTTGGTCAGCTCATACTTAAGAAATCAAACTGAAAACATTTCAACGTCTTATCTTTATTGTCCTATATGTGGTGTCTAGAAGATTTTCCTGTGATTATTTTTATTTAAAATGTAAAAGTCAGGAAATCTGAACAGCGTCATTGCACACGGTTATAAACCATAAGTGCTCTGCCTCCATTACGGGCAGCTGATAAGAAACTGTCTGCGTGTCTCGCCGCCCGCCTACAGCTCCATAGGTACAGCGACGTTCCTCCATTTACCCAGAGTGTTAACTCTGGTACCCATTACCTAGAGGCTGGGTAAACCCTGGGAACCGCCCGGTTTCGAACACTGGCCGTGAGCTGCAACAAGTCGCAGCTCGATTTGAAAGCGAGTTACCTATCGACTGCTCTAGCGTGGCCCCTGAATTATTTTAATTAAAAACAAGTTTTCATGAGAGGCCCCTGGTAGTACTAAAAGAGCTAAGGTATAACCATGTTTTTGTTGTTTTTCTCATAAGATGAATGCAAGCAATCTGGCAGTCTGTTTCACACCGACTGTCTTCCACCTGGGGCCCCGCCAGAGCCTGCCTTACAGCCCCAAGCGAAACCGCAAGAACTCCTCAGGTGTGCCTGACCCTCGTGAGATCATGGAGCAGAAAGCTGCCCATGAGTGTCTCCTGATGATGATTACCGAATGCAAGAAACTGTTCACTGTAAGTTGTCTGTCTGCTGCTCTCTCTGTCTCCCTCGCTCTTTTTCTTTATCTCTCTCTCTCTCTCTCTCTCTCTCTCTCTCTCTCTCTCTCATTCTCTCTCTTCCTCTCTCATGCACACACACTTACTTCATTGTCATATTTCCTCTTTATCATTATTACATGCTCTCTGTCTTATCTGAATTACATTTTTTAAGTTCTACCCCCCCCCCCCCCCCCCCCCCCCCCTTTTCCAGGATGGCAGTATGTAGGATTAAATCTCAAGGATGAGAGTCAAACAGCTGCTAATCCAGGAAACCTCATTCAACGGTATAGGAATATAACATAGTTATTTTGGGGCACTACAAAATGGATCTGAAGTACCCTGTAATCCAAAGTGGGTGGGTATGTGAGGTTTTGTTTACTGACCAACCTGCTGTGAAATATAAATAACCAAAGTCACACAATTTCAAAATTGACTTTGGCTCCCAGGTCATCCTAGGGCCTTGAGTAGGTACCGGGTGCAGTCCCAGAAAGTAGAGGCGGCCAGCGTGATGCTGACTACAACCCCCATCTTGGGCCGATTGGTCTATAAAAATATAGGTCTAGACCTATATGCCCTATACGCCTAAAGGCATGGAAAAGGGTCCTTGTTTTTTTTTAAAGTCACACAATGGTCAGATGAAGTGTCTGGATCTCGCTGTCACGTCTCCCATATCTACCCTCACTGGTAGCAGTCAGAATCAAATACATCCAATTCGATTGGACAATCCATATGCTGCAACAGAATAAAACACATTGCTAAGAACAGTTGTCAGCACAACCCATCCATATCTCCATCCTGTCTTACTGATGGAGAGCTACTGAATCAGAGTGCCACATGATTTTCCTTCAGCAATCAGTGACACTTGCCCCGCAATACCTGTGGTAGCTGCAGTTACCCATGACCAAGCAACACCTGTTTCACGAACTGTAAGCAGCCTGGGTATTTTTCACTAGCCTCTGTCAAATTGTCTTCATAAATATTCATGTGCATTTAAACCCCCTTTGACCTCTGGCATACTTGCATACTAAAATGAGTTAGCACACAACAGTACTATATTTTCTCTGTCCTCCAGTGTAACTTCCCATGCATTTTGTAAAAGGTGACTAAATAGAGTTGGCATGACACAGGAAACCTTACCCCATAGAAGATGTTAGCGACAGTCACGAACAAGTCTACAAAGGGCTTCACATGAGTTTCTTGTGGGTCGTAGCAGCAGTAGTGGTAGCAGCATCAGTTTAAACAGTATCCTGTTCAGTCCATCCAGGTTATAATTGGGATGTATAGAATTTTTCTATTTAAATAATTGGATATTTATGCCTTTCAAATTATGTTGGGTTATTCAATATTGCATAGCTTATGTACCTTTTGTTTAAGATTGTAGGAGTATAGATTTTCAAGATCAGTATATGCTGAGTGTACTTTCAAATGACTATAACAATTGAATTAAGAGTCATCATCATAGCACTCACGACACTCCCATAAGCGCTCCATGCCCAACTTCAGCAGCATGCAAAGAGTTTCAATTCTGATGGCACTAGTAACTATCTGATTATATATCTGTTTCACTTTCCCTTGCGTATTGAGCGTCGGCTTGATCCCCTGGTAACTCCTCACAGCGCCATTCTCCTCTGACCTTAATAATCTGTTTGTGCCTCCACACCGTTTACTCACTGCCAAAGGGCCCTCACAACATCACATCAGGGCTATTCAGTTGGCAGCCTGTGGAGGCCTAGCAAGTGGCCTGCAGATCACTGCTATTTGTATTGTATTAATGATCTTTCTATGCTGGGGCTTGGGCCTATGACCCGCTACAATCTCCATTTCCAAGATGTTGGCCCCTGAGTAAACTTAGTTGAATAGCCCTGTCATACATCACTTCACCACCAAGTGGGTCAGAACCAGCCAGTCTATCTGGCTGCTCATTTCCCAGCACACCGGCATTTCCTACATACTGAAAATTAATATAATCAAAATAATAATATCCTTTCCCCAACAGGTGCCTTCAAATCTGTTTCGACAACTTCAAGTTCAGTCTGTGGCTCACGTGGAGCCTTCCCTACCACAGGACATTGGCAGCTGCCCTTCAGATGTCAGAGCTTTCGGACAAGAGAGGATTCAGATGGTGCTCAAGGTATGATGTCCTCATGATAGTGAACAAAGTAGGATTGTCTGAGATTTAAAGTAGTATGAGCCCGGCTCTCTAGCGTAGTTGGCTAAACCGGATTGCGCGGTGACCGGGTGATGAACTCCTTGTGGTCCGGGTTCACTCCCGAGGGTAGGCAGAAAAGCCACATTTCTGCCAGATTTATGGTATTTACAATGGAATCAAGGCTGAAGGGTTGCGATATCCATAATACTGAGACTAAGGGTTAACAGACTCATGGCTTCTGGATACTTAAACAAAAACAAACATGAAGTAGTATGAATATCTGGAATTGATTTTTCTAATATATCAGTACATACTCTGAATCTAGATGGGATAACACCTAGTGGAATGAAGTCAGTTTTCACCTTTTTCAATTATTTTTAACTTTCCTTATTTTGAAAGTAAGTATAGGACCCTTTTCATGAGCCATCAGGCAAATAGAGCTAGACCTATATGTTTATAAACCGATCGACACTTCATGAGGGATGTCGTCATCATCAGGCCAGCCACCTTTACTTCCCAGAACATTATCTGGTATGCATTTTGAGCTGGGTTAACCTGGGAGTGCAACTCAACAATATCTGCCACCATACAGATTTGAAACCTTGACCTTCTGAGCAAGCGAGTATCTGCCCACTACGCTACCACAGCTTTCTTATTTTGTAAACTTCAGTGCTGTTTTTGTTGTGGCACTCATGCCTGAGTGTGCAGCCAGTTTCATTGTTCTAGGGCCCATGGAGTGTGGAGAAAGCCCATGAAGATGAACATTGTTTTTTTTTTTCTTACAAAACTAAATTTTTGAAAAGAAAAACAATATAGGATATACACTTCATACTGTATACTTTGGTATATCGCATAACTGCACTGCAGCCTTGCCTGACATAATCTATGTTAACTCCTTCAGCCCCAAGGAAAACATCATGTACTTCTAGATCCCTACCTAGAAGCCCAGTGAACACAAGATGCACCGATTTTACATCTCTCCTTACTACCCCTTTCGGCCTCTGATGATAAAACCCCTGGGACTGAAATAGTTAAGGAGTAAATGGGGGGGTGGGTGGGGGAGGGGGGGGGGGATTACACTACCAGTAAAACTAAAACAAACACTGGATTTTTGCCTTTGTTCAGTATATTTGCAAATATATTTGCAAGCATGTTAGAATGTACTTAATGAATGTACAGTTATGACATTATTAATCTATGTGTCCATGTGTAGTTGAGAGATGAGTGAGAGCCATGTTAGTCTTGTTCCAGCACTTAATAATTTTCTCTGCTTGGCGGTAGCCATAATGTTAATTGTACTTCTGACATTTACAGGAGTCCCATGACAAAAACCGAGGCTGGGTTCCAACAGTGACCATTGGAGATGTTGAAGTCTTTCACCGCAAGCCCCTGGATGATTGTCTCCTCAAGGAGTGGAAACTTGTTGTGGATATAGAAGCTCCTCCTGTTGAGGTTTTGCGTAGGATTATGCATGAAAGGTGAGCTGCAGATTCCATTTTGAATGCTTTTTGCTTGTGCCTAACAGCAATTATTTTGTGAACTGCAGATTCTGAAAATGGCAAATGGCTTTTTGCCAAATAGCAGCTGGTGGTGCCTTGTGCAATTGATTGCATGTTCAGCTACTTATTTTTTTTATAACTGTTGCTTCTATCGGTGCTTTAATAATATCCTACCCAAAACAGGGGAAATCCACAAGTCCAGGGACAGTCTAATATTTCAGAGGGTGGTAGATAGTCTGCATGCAGTCATGGGACTTAGGCTGCATGCAGTCATGGGACCTAGGCTGCGTTCTCTCATGGGACATAGGTGGGTTGGGGTTAGGGCCAGTTCTAGATGTTCTGGGGTTGTTAAAAGCACCAGAAAGCCATGAAACCCAGTCTTACCACCCTCTAAAATGTTGGACTGCCCTTTGACGTCACCTGAGGGTAAGATATTAATTAAGAACCTTTCTGTCAATGATAAACTGCATTTGTAATGCCAGACTGTTTGTGCTGGCACTTCTGCCTTATGCATTTATTGTGTGTATATGCTATTGGCTTTGCTGAAATTGCAGTGTGTCAAATTTTTCACAATAGACGCGGATGGACATTCTGTGTGGTTTTCATTGGCACAGGAACATGGCAGCTATGGCGTGACCCATTTGCTATGAAGTTGTATCTTTAATAAACTAAATAACTGTGTGGAACTGAAAAAGTTATAAAAAAATGAAGAAGAATACTTTGAAATCTTTTCCTGATAAGCTTGGAGAGATTCTGAAAGAGAAACCACTTGATGACTACTACTACTACTGCTTCTTCTTCTTCCTCTTCTTCTTCTACTGCTTCTGCTTCTTCTTCTGTATCTGCCTTTAACTCTGCATCAAACAATGAACGATGTGTGAATGGATTTTACAGTCCACCTGAAAACATCTTATGTATGCTTCTTTATTGTAAGTTTAATCAGGGTAACACCTATAATTATGTTATTATTATTGTCGCAGTGGGCCTTCAGCTGTTTTCTGGAACTGAAGGGGTTCAAACTGCGGTTAGAACTCAGCGTTGTGGTTTGCAACAACCCTGCGAATTCTGCACTTTTTTGGCTAATGCAGCTTTCAGCAAATCTCTTATTAGTCAGTTTTTACTTGCTTTTTGTGTGGGGAAGTGTGTGTATTCTTTTTCCCTAAGAATGAGACCCTAGAACTGACTTAAGAAGATGACTAGTAAGACACAACTACAAGGTCTCATGGTATTGAGGGGAAAGGGGGGGGGGGGGGGGAGATTTTTTCAATGACCTGACAATCAGTTCCTTATACTTCAGTTCAAGTTTAATTGGTGATATTTCAAACTGAGGAAAATACATATATCATAAATTTGTATACATAGGAAAACTAATTTCAGTCTGCATCCTACACTGCTGAACAACACATAAGCACAGCTGAAGTTTATGATTCAAATGATGTTGGTGATAATGTTTATTTTCCCTATGTATGGAAACCTCTGGAACATCCTGTAATGTGGGATTATGTTGATTCAAGGGAATTCACTTTTACATGTTTCAGACACACCTGGGATGAAGACTTGTTGAGTTGGTCAGTGGTGGAGAGGCTGGACCCACACTCCGATATCTTTCAGTATGTACTCAACAGTATGGCACCACATCCGCCCAGAAATTTCTGTGCACTCAGGTTGGTTGACAGATTATTTTATACATATTCTTCTTCTTCTTCTTCGCGTTCACCAGCTGTAAACTCTGGCGGAAGGTTCTGGTTGCCCGTCCACTACTGGACTGCAGTCCTGCTCCAGAACCTGAGTGTTCCGTGTGCAACATATTGAATGTTGAATTAACTCTTTTAGTCCAAAGGAACGCGTCATACGCCTAGTGAATGAAAGATATGCAGATTTTACATCTCATTTTACCTCTGAAGATAAACCCCCTGGAACTGAAAGAGTTGAGAATCAACACCACAGAATTTGGGACACTCCCAAAAGTGCTCCTCCTCCCCCCCTCCCCCTCTTTTCCCCCCCCCCCCCCCCCCCCCCTATCTTTAACAGCAGACGCAGAGTTCCAGATCCGATGGCACAGATAATAGTCTGACTGTATATCTGTCTCGCCTTTCTCTTGATTGTTTGAATATATGTCTGACCTTTTTCTTGACTGTCGAGTGTTGATCAGATCCCCTGGTAACTTCTCACAGCACCATTCTCCTCAGACTGTGATGATCTGTTTGTGTCTCTGCACTGCTCACTCACTCCCAGAGGACCCTTACAACACATACTTTAATACAAATTAGGTCGGGATATGCAGCTGATACAGATTTGATTCAGGTTCACTGAAGTTAATAAGAGGTGTTTGTGAACATCCTAAGGATATCACAGTGAGGCTCTTAAACCCCCCCCCCCCCCTTTTCCCCAGATTTTAATATTTCTGACCACAGCAAGGCAAAACCAGTATCTGAGTTACTGCTATAAAATCTTGCTCCAGTGATCAAACCAGCTGCTACATCCTTAGAAATTTAATTCATTTGCAGTTTTGGCATTCTTAGTTCTGAAAGGAATAATATTTACCACACCTGTATTAAACATAGAAAATAAAATTCATTTAATTTAATTTGAATAGTTTTATTATTTAACCTGTTTATATTTCCCTGTGTCTTTTTCAAACATCTCTACCTCCTAGGACATATTCTAGTATCTATTTCTGGCTGGGTCAGTCTAAGAGTAAAGGTCAGTTATAAACAATCTATTTCGATGCAGGTTCAAACCTAAGATCATCGGACTGGCAGGCTAGCACTTAGCCACGGCACTACCATGACTTCTATCCAGTCTAGGATCATTAGGAATAACAAAGATAATAAAAGGCATCCCTGTCATACCCCCTGGGAAGTTAAAGATGGCCGGCGTGATGTGACCACACCCCCCCCCCCCTCCCCTGCCCCTGGGTGCCAGTTGGTCTATAAAATATAGGTCTAGTCCTATATGTCCAGTACACCTAAAGGTGTGGACATGGGACCTTTACTTCCCTTACCTTTACATACCTTACCTTTACATACCTTACCTTTATATACCTTACCTTTACTTACCTTACCTTTACTTACCTTACCTTTACCTACTGTCACACATGGGTTCATTATTAAATATATCTGTGCTCTTGGGGATAAAATAGTCTCATGTTTTCTTCAATGCAAACGGCCATCCTCAGCACTTAGCTGTCCTTTATGAAACATTGCTGACATCACAGCACACCTGAAAGTCTCTCTTTCTCCAGCCAATTCTCCAGCCCTATGTGCTTTCACAGCCTGTACATCTTCATTGTCTTGTATGCACATTTGTAGAAGTCGGCCTCTGCTTTGTTTTCTGGAAACTGTACCCTCCACCACCGTTCCCTCCAGATCACTGTGACATTTCTTCTTCTGCTTAACCCCCAATGGAGCATAGGCCCTCAACCAACTCCCGCCAAGTTGTTCTATCGTTCAGTATTGCCCGCAGCTCTCCTTATGTCCTCCAGGTGTTTTAACTTTACTCTCTAGCTCCCTTTTTCATCCATTTTGGGGTGGGGGAGGGGGGGGTCTTCTTTTACTTCTATGCCCCTGTGGGTTCCAGTGCAAGAACATTCTAGTTACATTGACCATCACATTGAACAGGGCATTAGCTTTCTAAGCATCTTAGCTTAGCCAAAGCCAGTAGCAAATCTTTAATGCAACACAGCCTAGACTACAACATCACAACATCTAGCATGAGAATTGAGGTGGCGGTGGTAACTGTAGCTCTCCGGTGGCTATAGAACAAGATGCATACACATGTCATAATTACTACCGGGGTAGTGGGTAATGAACAGGCAGACAGATTGGCTGGATCTGCACCACTGGGTGGTGAACTGATACATGAGAAGGCAGACGTGGTCAAGGCCCTTTGGGAACAAGCAATGGAATCAGTAGAGAAACAAGATTATTATGGCCTGGAGAGAATGAGGCACCAGGGTGTAACCAGGGGGTGTGGCCGGCTCACTACATTCAGAGGAAAAGCAAGATGGACATATAACCAGATTGTGAACAGTACCATCAGTATTGGAACTCTGCGCTGGCTGCTGAAGATGAGAACTGAGCTGCTGTGATGTCAGTTTTTAACTCACCTCAACTCAACTTTTAGCATCAAATTTAAACAAATGCATCATACGTTTAAAGGTTCCTACTTAGAAGCAATGTGAATGCAAGATGCGCCAATCATCTCTCTTGACTTTTTTTTCTCCCTTGGACTCAAAGAGTTAATAAATTAAATGACGTCTGAAAATGCATGTTACCTTTAAGTGTGTATACTCTGTACCCTACAGGTACTGGAGAAGTGACCTCAACAAAGGAGCCTGTGCCCTCATCACAAAGTCTGTAGAGCATTCTGATGCCCTGGAGATACATGGAGTTTGGGCAGTAGACCTAGGGACGTATTATCTCATGGAGCCTTGTGGGTCTGGGCGATCTCGACTCACCTACATTACAAGAGTTGACACCAGGTATGTAAGGTCTTCTTTTGCTGCCCTTAGAATACAAACTGGGGGGGGGAAGGGGAGGAGGGGTACAGAGGTGCATCACCACATGTGATTGTGACGCACAAGGACCTTGGGTTTTTGTTCAGCTTAGCTAGGTTTTTAAAAAAAAAATCCCTGTTGCAAATAAACCAGATCTGTAAATTAGATGCAAACACAACTATTATTAAGGCCTTTCTTTCTTTGTGTTCACTGGCTATAAAATCTGGCAGAAAGTTCTGTCAGTTTTTATTTCTGAACTTCAGTCTTGTTCCAGAGTTTTGCATACACATCCATTCTACAGATCTAGTTTATATTTATGCAGACTGTTGGTTCCTTACCTCTCATGCAGATGCACTCTGACTTTGAAGGAAACATCTGCCCGGCTCTCTAGCGTAGTTGGCTAAACCGGATTGCAGGGTGAGCGGGTGACGAACTCCTTGTGGTCAGGGTTCACTCCCGGGGGTAGGCAGAAAAGCCACATTTCTCCCAGATTTACGGTATTTACAATGGAATCCAGGCCTAAAGGTTAACAACTCATGGCTTCTGGATACTAAAACAAACACACAAACAACAAAGAGCCCTGTCAATTTTTATGACATATTAATTTGAGGTAGAGGGTCTGTTTATGTTGTTCCCCGAACAGCAGAAACAAAGAACTCACATGATTGGCAACAAGACTCAAGTCCGATCATGGCTGAACTAACAGGACTTTCCACCAGAGTTGACAGCAGGCAAACACAGAAGAAGTCCAGGTGGAGGATGGGTTGTTAACCAACTCACTCTAAATCCTCTACTGTGGGGAGGGCGGCGGCGTGAAGCTACTTGAAACTAACCACAAAAATATACCAATAAATATAGCACTACAGTATAAGATATTTTAAACTACCACAAATATATACCTTCTTTTGCTTTCGTTCACTGAAAATAGATTATATTTATATGCAAGTCTGTCTCTAGTAAGAAAAAGTATACCAGTAGATGTAGCACTACTTGATGAGATAACGAGTTTAAACTGCCAAAAAATATACCCACAGATGTAGCGCAGTATAAATATCAGTTAAGTTGAATATATAATTTTAAAAAATATATCTTATGGTTTCAGTTAGAGTATGTGTTTGTGTTGAGCGGGCTCCGTCCCAATACCTGAACAATATCCAGATTAAAACCTATAAGAGTTCAACAAGATTTTTAAAATATAAATACTGCTGCTGTTAATACTACTACTACATGAACTGATAAACTGCTGTTACTTTTGCTGCTACTATTACTACTCTTCTAGTGCTGCTACTACTGACACTGTTGCTACTACCACCACCACGACCACTAATATAGCGTAAAAATTAGAATTAAAACATTGGTTAATTATTTTATTTTTATGGTTAATTATTTTGTTTTTAATTCCCCAGAGGACGAATGCCAGAATGGTATACAAAGATATTTGGCCACATCTGTGCTAATTTCCTGGACAGACTGAAAGAATCATTCAAACAGGATGCTGCAGGACCTGAGACCAAAGTGTAGAAAGCGACATATTAGATCATGTGACACTACTTCTTGATTCCCACAGCTTCTGGATATTTGTAAGCAGCTGTGTGGACTTTTCCAGTTGCTAAAAGCATTCATGTTCTCACACAAGCTTAACTTTAATCAATGTTCTGAGGGCTTGGGCAACATTTAGTCTTTAACTACAATAACTTCCCCAGTAAACAGACACAGTCTGCCGCTCGTTTAAATCACATACTTAAAGATATGCTTAACTGCCATATTTTCTGAGATCACCAGCAATCTTCAGACTCCTTACATTTTGCAGACATGGTTGGGGTCACTCAGATGAAACAAAAACGTCACTATAAGCTTAACTGGCAAGTTATCTCAGATTGCCAGCAGCCTTAGTTTCTTACCTGGCTGACAATATGTATGTGACCTCTGACCTATATGGAACAAACACTTCAAGATAAGCTTAATATGAACCACAAGCGCCTCCACCGACACTGGACTGCAGATTAATTCATAACCATCCGGTGTCCTAATATAACTATTGTATATGGTTGAACTGGATTCTGGGATTTGCTTCTGTTGGATCTCCTCTAAACAGCGGCACTTGAATCACCGTGTGTCCATTTTTTTAGGCTGCAATCTTGAAGGGGACCAAATGCCACCCATCAAGATAAGCTTAACTGGCAAGGTTTAAAAAATCACTGGTACCTGATAAATCTCTGACCATATTAACAGTATGCAAACATGGTCTCTTCCTTGGGAGAAACAAACACATCATTATCAGTATCCCTATCAGTTGCCAGTGGCATCTTTTGGAAAGATAATAAAAAGATGTGAAGGCTGAAAGACACAAATATCAGAAGAAGACAAAGTCACCATTTCTTAGTCATGTAATTAAAAAAAAGGAAACTGGAACATTTTGGGATTACTGGAAAGGTCTATGGTGAAAGATACAGAGAAAGACAATTCTTAACAGCCTTTTGTCATGGCATGGAGGGGTGTCACCAAACGAACGATACATACTGTTGAAGACTGCAGATTATAGAGAGGCATAATCATCCTCCATGCTATTCGACAAGGCACTTGATCTCTTGGATTTGACTTGAAAGTGTGGTACACGCAGATAGCAACATAATGCTGTTATTTGACTACCATAACCCTCAGTGTTCTTCAAACTTTCTTGTGTGACTTGCAGGGAATTGAACCAAAAATACATTGCTATTTTCCACATCTGAGAAAACTTTGTGGAAAACTAAACAAGTGCCATGTGTGTGTTTGATGTTCAGTCTGCTTGCTTTATGAAGATATGGCTAAGTATATATTTTTACTCTGAAAGTAGATATGATTATGTTGTATATGAACTGTAAGTTTTCAATTCAAACGATCATGTCAGCATTCAACTCTTCAAGCCTCAGAAGGGTTGAATTAGCTACCGTGCAAGGCCATAAGTGCATTACTGTCCATGTTGCTAAAATGTACATTATTTGGGAAAGCCAGATTAGATATTTGTAGAAAAGAAAAAAAGGTGCTCACCATGAAGTGTCTATTACATCATCATTCTTGAAAATAATAAGCCTTTTAAAAACATGCCGGTGTTGCATACCCTGCCGGTGTTGCATACCCTGCCGGTGTTGCATACCCTGCCGTCAGAAAAAAAGGACTGGTAAAGACTATTATCATAGCACTCGGAGAGATCCTAAGACACTCTGATCTCCTCTGCAGTAAATCAACAAGCATAAGAAAGCAGCTGATCACACCTATTTTGCGTTGGTTAATCAAATATCCTTAGTGAAATATTCATGATCTGACAGCTCCAGGTTGCACTTACATATCACCTTATCTGGTTCTGCATGGCAATGATGAGATCACTCCTGTGCAGCACAGGACCAAATTAAGACCACATTATTGATGGCTGTGAAATAGCCATTCACACCTCATATAGGGGTATCAGCCATGTACACCTGTGGAAAGGTGCCCCAGACAGCAGAGCATGTACTCCAGGACTGCACCGAATTTGACACATTAAGGCAAACCTTTTGGCCAGAAAGAACAACAGTGGAACGTAAACTCTATAGACTACTGAATGAACTAACAATGACAGTGAAATTTATACAAGAGACAAAATTGCTGATATAGACAACTTATTTTAGGCGAACAAAAGAAGAACACACCTCATATACTGGTTGAGAATTAAAGAGTTTAAGTGCGTAATATGGTGGCTTTTATCGCCATCTCTATCACAGATGGAAAAAAATAATTCAGGAAACGAAAATATGTAAGCAGCCAGTACTTATTAGTGGGTATTGTAACCATATCAGCACACTTGGCTTAGGTATTGCGAATACACTTCCTAATTCCAAGGTACCCGGTTCAATTCCAGCTGCAACAGAATTGGCAGCAGACCATCTTGTGTTGATTTCGACAGTGGTATCAAGAGCTGACTATTTAGAAAGCTATGGCAAATTACTGAATGTAAAATTACCTAGTAAAACCAAACAGCTGAAACTTCATGGGATCAGTTCTACATCACCCTGTAAAGGTTACGCCACTGATGTTTTATAACTGAGACCGTGCTTGCAACTCTGTCCTGGCAACCATAAGTTACCTGGTTGGATTTCAAGAAAAGGGCCGTTTATGAACTAAGCCTTGCGATGTGACATCTCTTTTTGTTCTGATGGACTGTTTAATATTGAAGAACAACATGTTATCATTAAATGATTTCTACGGTACCACTTTTAAACAGTTTATGGAGATGCAGAAAAATACTCTAAAAAACAGAATAATATTAGTGTTAAAAATAGTGTGTGTAAAGTTGCAATAATTACCTCGCTAGTAATGATAAAAGAGAACTGAATACAGATTATGAAGAGAAAATATATTGTTAGATCTTGAAGCATGGAAGACCACTTTCTGAAAATGTTTTTAAATATATTAGATGCTTTTAATCTCCTTATATTTATATGTATGTGTGTATGACAAAATGGAACAAATAATTAGCGCCTTCTTTACTATCTCCCGTGCATCTCACTGATTTAAGAGCTGACATCACAGCATACCAATAGATGCCTTATGTCTCGCAGCAAATGTTTTAAGGTGTAGATACTGACTATTCGAATAGCACACTGGTTCTACACATGTTGTACCCCTTGAATTCTATCCTAAGCTTACAAAATAGCATGTACGAATCTTCTTGCTCAAGGCTTTCACTTTGCCTTATTTGTGTCTTTAACAATTACTGTTTTTTTGCCAAGTTGTCTGTTCAGTTTATGCACTTTGCCAGATTTGTGTCATTAACAATTACTGTTCTGATGCCAATTTGTCTGTTCAGTTTCATTCATTCAGTAAAAGATACACCCATATACCCTACCCTTGTACATTATATATAAGTGCATTAAATTCCATGTATATATTGTAAATAGTACTGCATATGTTTTACTGATGGTAAGGAAAATACATTTTATGAACAAAGGATGACAGAAACCCAATGT